GGCCGAGCCGAGCGGGGCCGGGCCGAGCCGAGCGGGGCCGGGCCGAGCCGAGCGGGGCCGGGCCGAGCCGAGCGGGGCCGGGCCGAGCCGAGCGGGGCCGGGCCGAGCCGGGCGCCCGCTGCCCCCGCCGGGGTCGCTCCAGGCCGGGCACCCCGAGCTCCGCGCCCTTCCACCAGCAAGAGGTGCCGAGTGCGAGCCGCGAGCCGGCCAGGCGGGGAAAAGGCAAAGCCGTGAACGCTGCAAACGCACCTGTCCCCGCTCGCCCTTCGCACAGCTCCAGGCTCTGTCACCATCCGCGCCCTGCAGCTGCAGGCTCAACAGCCGAACAGCACCATTCTCCTGCTGCTCTGCAGGTCCATGGCATAAGCTCTGCCACGTTTACTAGTGGCTGCTGCTAATAATGTCATCAACCACTAGTGATGTCATCATCTACCAACGACCTCGTCATAACACAGTTTACAAGAATTTGAGTATGTTTTAGGGCAGCCACTCTTTCTGATCCTGCAGCCACAGAATCAAGCAGGTTAAAAAAAGCCTGCCACCTACTCCACAGTAAAATTACATGTTTGAAAAGACATGAGAGATCATCGAGTGAAATGTGACTGTGACTAGAAAACACAAAGCAGGCACATGTGGGGACAGAGATATGACAACAATCCTTGTCCAAGAGGCACATGGAGGATGAAAGGGGTCTTTTAAAGAGCTCCCAGAGCAGGCGCCAAACACATTCTTTGTGTTCAGATTCCAACACACCTTTCTAGCACCCGGACAAGCATTGCTGCTCGTAACCAACACATTCTCTCTCAGAATGGTATTCCACAGGAACTGCTCAAGTGTTTTGCTATTGTCCACTCACCTTAGGTCTCCAAAATTTCCTGTAAAGTTCTTTCAAAATATGGCCTTATTGTTTTACATCATCTGACATTGCCAAGGTCAAACAATAATCAAAACATTATATCCCACTGTGTTTGCAGAAAGCAACAAGGCACCGTTTTAAATCATTGAATATTGACTCATTTTATTAGTCACTCATAATTTGTTTCAACCAAAAGACAATACACACAGCAGAAGTCTAATGCATCCCATGTAAATGTTTACATCTGTTAAGCTCCTCACTCACCTATGACTCAGCATTTACTTAAATTTTTCACATCTCAAAAATAGGTCTCCAGAATTTTGAGTGCCAACAGGCATACTGCCTCAAAAGCCATGTTTTTCACTTTAAATTTGGTGGGTTTGTTGGGGGTTTGCATTGTAGTAGTTCTTCGTTTGCCTTTTTTTCTCTATACTGTCAAAGAGGTGGGATGGGGCTCTGTGTAAAATTTAAATTGCAACATCACAAAAGAGAAAAGAATACACAGGAATAGAGTGAAAGTTAAAAGGGAAGCAGTCTAGTAGCTCCTTCCCTCACAGCCTCCAAGTAGAAAATGAACACACAGAAGTGCACCAGCGTCACTGCTGCCGCGGCTCACAGCCAGTACCTGCCTTAGGGAAGGCACTGCTACCTTCCCCAGCTGCTTCGGTATCTTCTGGGTTATAGATCCAAGGTACTGTAAAGACACTCCCTTCACTGCTATTGCTTCAGTAAGTTGTTCAAGGCCATATTTTGTGCCAAGACCTGGACAAAGGCAACTTTTAGGACCTTTCCACGTCTCCTCCCCCTTCAGGCCCATTATGGCCTCTATTGTTTCTGCCATCTTTTGACTCTAAATACATTCACTTGGAAAAAAAGACATCCAATGTCTCCCAGTTCTGAAGCCTCCCGTGCAAGACACTAGTAAGATTAGCCATGAAGTCCATACCTTGCTGCCTTTATATCCCCCTTACACTGGAGCAAGAAAAACGTTGACCAGAGCTCTAAGAACTGTTTCACTCAACCGGCAGGAAGAGGACTCAGCATATGCTTGGAGTGCCTCAGCCATGTGAGTACTCTCCAGAGGAAAACCACAGCAACAGCACAGAGCTCGAAATGCACATGGGGGTGAAGGAGCAAGCAGCATTATCTGGTATTGCAGAGAGGGGAAGGTGTGAAGCCTTCTTGTGTAAGGTCAGCATCCATCCATCCCTTAGTGAGGAAAGCTCCAAGGACAACTGGATTGTTTGGCTGCTACAAAAGAGTACTTCATAGCCAAGGGATGGCTTCCTGCAAAACGTATTTTGGGTACACGCATTGCCTCCTCCAGCTCGACCGACTCAAATACATGACCAAATGCCCATTTCCCCACAGACAGTGCAAGGGTGGCTGAAGGAGCCAAGAACAGAAAGAATTCACCCTGCAGCTTACCAGAGACAGACAGCAAACCCCAGCTGCTCGAGGGGACAGAAAGCAAGCAGGACAAGAGGGACAAAATATACTGTTCCCAACTCTGCTGCAACAAATTGGCCAGGCAAGAGAGCATTTTCTTCTTCCTTCCCATCTAATTTCCTGTACCAGTGCTCTTTCCCAGCAAAACCAAAGGGAGAGTGAGGGATGCTGGCTTTCAGTAAGAGCGAACATGTACAACTCTGTGAAGAGGATGGGAGAGCTTATGAGGAGTTCAGGAACCAAGGCAAAGACTTCCCATTAGCTTTTCATCTGGGACACCTCCAGAGCTCACTGGGGTATGGATTTAACATGCTCAGTCTTCAACGTTGAGTTTGAGCCAGTGGGACAATGAATAGCCACAACTGCAGTGAAAACGATTAAGCTAAATGCTCAGCACCAGAAATGGACCCTGATTCAGCCATTTCCTGCAAAACTGCCTGCTTCATGATGCTTCTAGCTAAGCACAGGATTTATCTCACCACTGATAGCCAAGGTATGACCCTACCACAACCCAAAGTTAATCTTAAGGAAATCATACATTGTTCTTATAGCTCTTATAACCCTGCACAGATGCCAGTTCCAGGAGCTAAAAAGCTCTTTGCTAATTCAAAGGCCCAAACCAGTTCAACCGGTAAGGTAGCAAAAATACCCTTCAAGAAAAGATAAATTTACTCCAGTTACACATGGACCAGCACTTAAATCAGTGAGAGTCCTACATTATATTGCTTAATGCAGTTAAGACCAGACCGAACAACCCTCAGTGGCCTCCTGCTCCCAATTCAAAGGCAGAACAGGTCTTCAGTTTTCCCTAAGCACTTGGTGGATCACTCTTGCAAAATTTTTGGCAAGTTCAGGAGCCCAGTGTTAACACTTCTGTGGACACAAGAAGCTACGTCTAAGCTTGTCCTCGGAGCACTCAGTGATCTGGAAAGCCCTAGAACAGAACTGAAGCAGAAGTGCCCCACCTTCAGCTTACCAGCACACTCACAAATGAAGATCTAAGATATACCTTAAAGAGCACTGAACGTCTGAAGTTTGTCACACTATGCTTTACACATCACCTCCAAAGGACTGCCCAGAATCGCAGCACCTCCCACGAGTTCCCACAGGGACATGCCTGAACAGAGCTTTCTGCGAGCTCAGAGGGGTACCAACCACACCTTGCACCTTTGGATCCAAGTACTCAAACAACTGCCCTCTCTTCAAAACATAGCTTAGTTACTGTCAGTCTGAACCTGAACTGGCACATTATTCTGAAAGGGGAGCAAGGATCAACTAAGTAAAAAAAATGGGAAAAGGTCTCTTTAAACTGCATGGTCTTTATTTCAGTGCCAATATTACAGATACAACACAAATATCCCAGTCAGAAGTAACTCAAATGGAACCCAGGGGGGTCTACAACAGGCTCTGGAAATAAAATTTGCGAGAAGTTCTGGAATAACCAGGAAGAACAACTTTGCAGCATAGTCTCTGATGAGTCTCCCAGCAGGAGCAAAGCCTTTGCCCAGAAACTGGTCTACAAAATTGAGTGTGTCTTTTCTACCCATAAACCACAACTAACAGGTTGAAAGACTTTGAAACCGTATGTGGTAGAAAATCAGCTGCTCCTTTTATCTCTACATCTCTCATAACTCACTTCACTTTCTGGCGAAGCTACAGAAGACTCTGAATCTGCATGGCTGTGGCTACTGATGGAAGGAAAGACAATTCAGGTGTAAGGGCTTCATTTCCAAGTACAGCACCAAAACAATTTTACCAACTCTTACCAGCACCTCTTCTCCTGCACTGTGTCCCAGGTTTGCAGATGAACTCCAAAGGCCTCACTTGCTCTTGGTATGCAGCACATAACTAAGAAGTGGGTGTATACAATAATGCACTGAGTAGGTCATAAGAAGCCTCCAGCCCCTTAAGACCTAGGGGATATAAGAAGAAAGAGGCGGGGAGCCTGACATTCCCCAAGACCCCATCTGAGTCTCAGATGAAAATGCCTGAAGGAATCCAGTTAGAAATGAATGACAACACGCCTTACCCACCCTAGGGAAAAAAAGACAGCAGAAAGAAGGAGCAACTGCTCACTTGCTGCAGAGAGAAGAAAAGTTTCCCTGCTAGAAATTCCAGACTTCTCTTCCAACCAGGCTGTATTCCTTTTTGAGAGGGAAAGAGGGTGGGGAAGGGGAGAAGGGAATGTTGCTTCTGGCTGTGAATGCATGTGTGAGGGAGTGCAGAGTAGCCTCCACAAGCCGCCAGCCTCATCAGCAGAGGAGAGGAGATTAGTCTTAACAGATATGCTTCAAAGTCAGCAATCACTTCAGGAAAATTCCTCCTCATCAGCAGGTCTCATTTGTTCCCCATGCCCACGGTGCAGTTTGGGGGATTGCCAAGGATCACAACCTTCTTCCCAGAGTTCTTTTGATTGGGTGGGATGAGAGTAAGAATGGTGCCAGAGCCTCATTGCCAAGACTGAGGGGGGAAGTTGTTGACTTCTGCTAGATCCTGCATTGCTGAGCCCTTGTGATTATATGTCAACTTGATCCGCATACGTAGTTGTTGCTACAAGTGAAAAGGGGGAAACAAACACAAACAAAACAAATTCAGGTCTTCATTAAAGGTCACAGACTTTCACCTCATCCAGTTCCCCCACCCCCCAACCCCACAAATACTCAACACAGACTTTTCCTGACTGCAAGAGCTTGCTGGGAGTGTGTGCAGGGTGAGCTATGACACTGCAGATAAATGCTCAATCTGGTAGGACATCAATTAGCCACTGTAGTTCTCAGATCACTCACAAGCTCTTAGAAAAGTTGCAGCACAGCTTCTACCCACATCTGAGTCTGCACTGGCCCTGCTCTTGCAAGCACTGAAGACCTTAAAACCAAAATTAACTGCGCTCAAATTCCTGTTAACAACAGAAGAAAGTAGGTGGCAGATCTTTGCTGCACTGCACTTGGGCTTGCAGGGAGAGATGGGCTGTCCATTCAATGCAGTAGTTTGGAAACTTCCAAGTACTGCACAGCTCAGCAGCACTGTGAAGGAAATAGCCAAATGGCAGTGTAAAGTGACTTCTGAGCTATTCCATCATTTAGTTACAGCAGAAGGCAATGCTCTTGGAGAGTCTGTTTCCTGTCTTTCATTGGCTGTCACCCAGATATGAGGTGGCCCTTAAAAACAGCTGGAGTATAGCATGCTCCAGTCAGGTTCCCTATTCTCCTCTCTCTCAAAAATCCAAAAGTAAAAAGCCAGAAGTTGACCATTTCTGTCTCTCTTCTCCATACCTACAGGCAAACACAAAAAAGGGACAGCAGAAGGAAGAAAGGAAGACAATGACTGCTTCAGCCAGGCTGAGGATAAAGAAGAGATGATATATCACTAATAGATCAACATCATCACTGTCACTTTTTGCTTTATTTGGCATTTTGGAAAACTGGCCATTAGTTTCAATCCAGTATGATGGCTCTATTTTGCACTTCTGCACTCTGAGGTGTTCCTAGGAGTTGCAGCACTCCTACAAGAAAGCATGCCACTGCCCTAGGTGTGTTTCACTTTGTGGATCCTATTCTGGCACATTACAGGAAAACACCTAAATCCTCCAAAGTTCAGAAAATAACTTTCAAGGTGATCTTTGAAAGGTGCTCTACAGCTTCACAGATAAACTGGTATCAGATGTATATAAGACACAGAATAATTAGTCTTGTGGCTTAATATAGGCAGAGGTGAGCAGACTATGTAGAAATAAAGGGAGATGCATGGAAACCACAAAAATTTGCACTAGAAGACTGCCATTCAGTGAAATTTGGGGTGAAACTTGTGAATTATTTTCTCACTTGCACATCAATCTAGCAGAAACACTTTACATCTAGAGAAGTACATAAGTTTTAACCTATGAAAAGCTTCAGATGTTTTAAGTTCTCAGAGTAATTTAACATCATAAGGCTGTCTCAAAGGAGAAAATGTGATCTCAATTTTATTTTTCTTTCTGATGCCATCTGAGCACTTGCAAACCCTCTTAAGGAGGAAATGTGGGCCGCATCCCTCCCTCCCCTCAAATCTGTTGCGTCCTAGTCTTGAAGCCTGTCTCTGAAAGCTGTAAAGTAAATGGAATTACGATTATATCACACCTAAAGACTATTTCCATCAACTTTTTAAAACTATACTCATCACATTAAAAACAAATGAGACTACTTGACAATTTTAAGAATATGGATCAAGCTGCTTTTTTATGTAAAAACATTTAAATGATACCACTGCAGACAGGAAGAACAAATGTTGAATATCTTTATGTGTCAGGATCTTGCCTCCCAAACATCACTTTTACAACCCACAGAAACACTAGGTTAAGCTCCTCTGGCCATTTGAAATCTTAACAACCACTGTGATGCAAGATGTGAATGAATTCAAGGTAGCAAAGCTGTTAAACTGCTTTAGCAGTATAACCAAATAGAAAACCAAACCTGTGTTCCAGAACCTCCTGTGTTTTTCATAACTTTTCCCTAACTCTAACTGAAGTGACTGCCAAGAAAAACATATCGTTCACTACCATCTCTCCCTACCTCTCATCAGAGATGCATCCCTGACTGGCACTAAATCAATGATTACAAGACAGTATCTTTAACAGTTCTTCTTGGAATCACTCACCTTCTGTGGATTCAGGACTTTAATGACCTGTGTGATGGTCCCAGAGTTAAATGCAGGGATGACACTGCTGCTGGGAGACAGAAGCTGCAGCTGGAATGTCTGAAAACAGCAAAAAGAAAACAATTTGATGCATAATCAAGTAAAAAGTGACTTGCTTGCACTGAAAGAAAGCAAGGAAAATTCAAAGTTCTGTTTCTGGCCCTGAATAATCAGTTCTTGAATTCCTTATCTCGGTGCTCCCTACGAACAACACATTCATTGGCCCACCTGCTTTCTATGCAAGTAGGATCCAGGTAACACAATTAAGAGGAGGTGAGGGCTTACTGCAGTGTACCGAGATGAACAGCAATGCTTCCTTCCATGTGTTGCACTCAGAGGAACAGTCAGCACACCTGTAACTTCAGGAGGCCTGTTCTTTCCCTGATTCCTTCCTATGGCAGGTGTAAAACCTACCTGAATCCAAGTTAGAGGAATACCAATTCCCAAATTTGGAGAGCAACTACTAATTTCCCATATTTGGAGAGCATTCCAGTCACATGCTACTTCACTAGTCTGCTCTGCTATAAACCAGGCAATATCTGTCTCTCACATTTCGTGTTGCAGCTGAATGCAGGGGAAACAATTCACTTCTTTAAATGAGGACTGCCATTAATCACCATATTGTGACTAACTTTAATTTTTATAAGCAACTAATAGCTTCAAAATATTTTTTCTTTCATGTATTCATAGCTCCCAAGAACACAGTATATTTCTTAAAAATTAATAAAGGGTACAGTTAGTGTCTCCAAAATACTGGTTTTGACCCAAATGTTTTTTCTGCCTGAGGTTTAGCCATTTTTCTACAAAGTGGAGATTTTAAAACATGATTTTGTCCAAGCAGATGTGGTCCAATTTGTTTGGAATACGAGTTCTATTGCATTTACAACAGGTACTTTCAGACTGGAAAGAGATGACCAAACTGGGCGCTAGGAGAAACCTGGAGCAGTTCTCAGCCTTGTTAACCTTGCCAGTTTCTATCTACATGAAGGCACCAATCAGGAAGTGTTTGCAACTGGCCCTCAGCTTCTCACTGTAGTTGCCCTAAGTGGCTCTACCTTTGGTACTGCAGCTTGGAAAACAAAATCTGTCATATCCAGCTCTGTGCTGTTGGAGGCCTGTATCGTGATTACAGTGACACTAGGGTTGGTGTTCGACCTCTCAAAGGTGAAGTCAATCTTCAGCCCATTCTTGTTGTATGCAGTAATGGAGGGGATTCCTGTAGGAAACAAAAAAGCAGCATATGTACAGAATCTGGAGATCATTCTCTATATCATAGTATGCATTTACTTCACCCCAGATTCTTCTGAAAATTAAACACATCCCCTTGTGCTCCAGTATCTATGCCACACTTTCAAATTGCCTCCCTTTTAAATTTTTTTTTTTAATTTTTTTTTAATTTATTTTTTTACTATTCCTTGTTTCCTCTTCTAGATGAGTGTTGGGGCACTTTAGGCAAAGGATTTACATGTCCCTAACCTGCAGCAATATCATTGAAGAGAGGCTGAGATATAAGTCCATCGAGCAGGAACGGAGGCTGTGCTATCTGGGGCGCAGGGGCAGATACTGGAGAACCTACAAGAAATGTTGAAGGATTAATACTTTGCTGTCAGGAAATGAAGAGTAATTACTCCTTTGCCGAAGCGTGACTGCTGCATATTGCGTTTCTTTACATGAAGTTCTATAAATCACCTGTGTTATCATCCTCCCCTTCTTTGCTTTCAAGAATTGGCTCCTCTTGCAGTAGCAAGCATTCAAATGGAATTAATTCCTCACATCTCACAGACCTCTCTGGAAGGGCTCATAGCATTCCCAGACTCAGGTGTAAAAATGCTCAAGTCTCACCAGCCAATCATGCAGAATTAACCTGTGACTTTATACCCTGACTCCCACCTGTACACTAATACGGATCTTGGTAAGAGTAAGTGAAAAACTAGGACTTAAAAGACAATGAAGAAGTAGCCCACCCTCATCCCATCCCAGGGATGAGAATGTAGACTTCTAAGAAATGCAGCCTGCTCACCTGTTAGGTTGAGGTCTCCCAGGAGGTCAAGCAGCTCCCCACCAGCAGAGGCTGGCTTGGTTGTAGGTGCAGTGGGAATTACAGGTGTTATATCACTTCCCCCCAACAAGTCCAATAAATCATTTGCCTAATGAGAGAGTGGATGTAATACTTACATATATTCAACGTTCTGCTACTTTCCCTTGCAAATGCAGTGTATTCTATTTGTTCTCAAACTGAAGACCACCAGAGCTGATAGCCAGTTAACGGGGTTCTTAGCTTCACTGTGATCCCATGCCCCACAAGAAATCTAGTTCCATGTTTGAGGGACCAAAAAGATAGGGAAGGACTGGGTTCATGCACACTAAGACAGGCAGGAGAATCACGAAATATTCTGAGTTGGAAGGGACCCACAAGAATAATTGAGTCTAACTCTAAAGTGAATGGCCCAGAAGAGGATGAAATGCACAACCTTGGCATTATTAGCATTAGCATTATATTAGCTAATATAACCAACTGATACAATCCCACCCTGCTCCTGAGCAGCCTACAATGACCTGTCCCACACACCTGGACACTAGAGCCATCAGAGTAGAACAATGATACAAGCATCACCAGTCAGAAACAGCAGAGAAGCAGAGAGGGTGAGGGAGATGGTCTCAGCTTGCTGCTGGCACTGGCCAGAACTGGTCTGACAGGCAGTGGAAATTTACCCTGGGTCAGTTTCTGTTACCTGGTTAGCAGGCTGCAATCCAGAGGGTGGAGGTTTGGTTTCCAGTACTGCTGTCTCTGTCTCTCCATTGGTCTGTACAATCTCAGCAGGGCCATTTGTGGTGACTTTCTCCATTACTGGCATTCTCTCAAGCAGTGCTGGCCTGAAAGAAGCTGACATAGTTACACTGTGCCATCTTCCTGGATCCCAATCCAAATACTTAGACATTCAAGAGCTGATATATATATAGGACAACCTGCCTTTTCCCTTGAGCTCCAATGCAGGACAACTGCAAGACTGCATGACAGTTTGAGGTGGTCAGAAGCAATTCCTGGCATTCTGTGCCAGTGTAAATACACCAACTGATAGCTAAAAGACAAACAAGCCCTCCTGTTTCCTGCTTCCCCTCAGTACCTGACAAGCTCAGGCTCAAAGCAGGACAAATGCTTTGGCACAGAGAGTCTCTGATCACAGAACCATAACATAGGACACATTAAGTCCTTAGAACACTTGTTAACCCTGTAGAAGGGGAGAGATTCTAGTTCCTCTGTAATCCTAACAAAAATCACCGAAGTTCTCACAGCACACCATCATCCACAGGAGATCAGAGCAGATAATGATCCTTTTCAAACACCAAATCTCTATCAGCACTTACCTCATGTGATCATATTTCTTGAAAAGTGCATTATACTCCACAGCTCTCTGCTGTAGCTCCACATCAATGCTGCTGCCATAGATGGAAACTACCTTCTTAATGCGACTGTTGGGGGCAAGGGAAAACAAACACCATGGAGTTAGCAGCAATAAGCAAGGGATTAGCATGTGCCATCCTGAAGATGCTACCTAGTCTCTGTTCAACAGGAGTCCCATGTAACTCATGTAAAACAGCAGTATCCATGTAACATACATATATATGAACTGTCCCTTCATAAAAGCATCAGCAGGTGATTAATACATCACCTTAGGGTATAGCATGAAAAAGCTCAACTACCACACTGAGAAGTACCCAAGTGGAAAAAAGGATATTTTCCCTCCATCATCTAAAAAAGGAACCGGAGAGAACAGTCCACTGAAAGTAAGGATTCTCTTCCCTCTAAGGGGTTCTCAAGAAACAGCAACATGGATTAAGTCCCCATACAGCAGAGGGCATGCCTAGAGAATACCCACAGCAGACATCTTCCACCCTGTGAGCAAAGGAGGACTGTGAAAGTAGCAAGTAACATGATGACTGTCGTTAATCGCAGAAGCAGAACATGTTCAAGGAATACTCTTACTGAAGACAACTTATGTCAATATATTTTCAGCAAAGCCCTGTGCACTATACCACCAATGGGAACTCACTTGACAGTGCAGGTGAACCTTGTGGAAAGCTTCATGATGGCAGTGAGAGCATAGCCTCGTGTCACAGATGCAGACATATTAGATATCAGGACGCTTTCTAAAATATCAAGAACTTCATCCTCTGTTACCTGAAAACGTACAGCAAGGTTAGGCTAAGACAGAGAGGACCTTACAGCAAGCCTTCCAGACCATACTGTAAAAGCCTGTCTCTTGCCTAATGGCCATGCCACACCTCCTCTACAACTCTGAGCCTGTAGTATTATGTTCAGAGCGTGAGAGACATGCATGCAGGTGGAGATCTTATGAGTTTTAAAATACAATTCCTGTTTCACACATCGAAGAGTGGGTTTATCACTGCAACACACTGCTAAGACCCTAGCAGATTTCTTCCAATTCAGTTAGATTTGAAACCACACCACTCTGCCAGTTGTAGCAGCACTCCACATATCCAGTGTTTACACAGTCCATGCCTGCAGCAGGGGAAGGAGGTTCCTGTCCAGGGTCCATAACCGTCATAGACAGTGATAGGGAACTGGTGAAAGCACTCCCTTCACCTAGCCCGCATCAAGAGGGTCCAGCCTTAGCCAGATGTGCAGTGGCAGTTCTTTCCCAAGCTATACCTGTATTGGTTCCTCCTCTTCACACTGACCAGACACCAGAAGATCTCCATACTCTCCTATGCACCAGGATGCAACTTGTACCAGGGGTTGCTGTTGGAAGAAAAACCAGAGAAGGCTCAGAGATAAAAGGCTGCCCGCATGATAAATTAAACCATCTGCATTTCCAGGAGCAAGCTTAGCCTTCCACAGTGGAAGAAATAGGAATATCTGATTAGATCAAGAATTCCATGAGAGAATTGGAGAAACCAAAACCAACATGAACTGATAGAAGATGTGCCTGCTCAGCAGGTCTCCCTTGGAGCCACGTGATGTTGGCTTTCCCTGAGGTGCTTAGTAAACATGATAACTGCAGTACAACAAAGAAACCAAAGCTGGCTGCATTTGGTTTTACCTGGGAGTAATCTCCAAGGATGGCTTTGTAGAGTCTCTGCACAGTGTAGGCATGCATCTCCACACTATTAGTTATTAACTGGATCAGATTGGGAACAGCATCATCACGAACATAACTTCCTGCCTGCAAGAACAATTGTGATGTCTTACTATGGACCTTCTTAAGTAACAGACAGCAGCTGTGATACCCTTCACAAAACCACCTGATGTGCCTGGAAATAAAAATCAATTCCATCCATGAACACTTCATGATTGACTTTGAGCAACCTCAGGGGGGCAGAAGTACAGGACAACATATTTACCAACAAATAAAACTATACTCAGAAATCCACACTACAAATAACATGAAACTGCAAGAGGATAGAGTGCAGAAATGAACACAACTTCATGAGTGGTTTATCTAGCGGACAAGAAAAGGCAATTCCTTTACTGAAGAAAATCATCTGAGAGAAATTCTAACAGCCAACCTTCCAATGGAAATTAATTCACACTTCAGGCGAATCTGCTTCTCTGTTTCAGGATAACAAAAAAGCACCCCAGCCAGGCTTACTTCTTGATGAACTGCTCAAATGTAAACACTCAAACTGATAAAATCCCTTCCCTCTCCTTTGCCTGACAGAACACACTGCCTATCTAAGTTACCAAGATCTCTTCCATAGGTTGCCAAAGCACTACTCCAGTTCCACCTCAGCTGAGATGTTTACAGATAAAAATCAAGTAGATAAAGAGTAATAATTAAACCCAAAGAAGGTGAACTAGAAGACTGTTGACACAGTTTTAAAAAACTTGGAGTAATTCCAAGAAACTCCTTCACCGTCTTTCTTTTTGCAAGTCACTTGAGGCTGCATTCACTCTCCTCTAAAAGTACTGTATATTGAAATCAAACAGTACAAGAATTGTCCTTAGAAACAAATACAATAACTGCAGTAGAAATACTGTTAAACACTGTTACTCTTGTGTGCTTCTGAAATAGTACAGTTCTTCTAAAAAAAAAAAATCACTCAGTGATCCAAGGCAGCCAGTCAGAAATATGCAAATTCAGTAAATGTGACTAGCATAAGTACACTTCCTCTATGTATTTTAGCATTTGTTATCTGCCAGCCTTTAGAACCATCTCCAACTTGATGGTGAGTAACTTCCTCCAGATTTAAGAAAATTTTATGTAGTCACACACAAGAGAGGTGATTTCACTTACCGTTGTTAAGACTCTCATAATTGTGTCTATGTGCCAGCGCTTGGAAGGAGCATATCTGACAAAATTAAGAAAACAAGTTAGAGCAGTAACTGCCAGTCTTCAACACCAGTAAGAAACCCACCATCATCAGAACCTCCCCTTTCAGTTACTGCTTGGCCCACTGCTTCATGAGGAAGGACACCAATACTGAGGGAGGGCTACAACTGACAAACCACACAGAAATCAGCAAACAGAAAAGAAATGAATCCACACGTTCTCTCTTGGGAGTAAGCAGGGAGAGAAACAACACACAAGGTGTTCACAGTCCCGACGATGTACCAAAAATTTCCAGCAAGTAAAAGAACTCCATACTTTTCAGCTGCAAGAAATATTCCAGATGCACAGTCTGCCTTGAACTCTGGTTCACAAGAATCTAGGAAATACAGTAACTCCTTCATCATTCCACGGACATTGTTCCCGTTAACAAGAGCAAAACTGAGTTCCATTGCACGCCTAGGGCAAGAGACAGAAAACCAAGAACATCAAGTCACTTCACCTAGTGAAGGAAGTAAAAATACCAAGTCCAGCTACAAAAATACAGTTACCTTTTAATTAAGAAGGTATCAATACCTACTGATCCTGTGAGAACAGCCCTCCACATTTAAAGTGCAGTATTTTTTTGTTCATAGGCAGACAAACATCCACTCACCAAAAAATTAAGGGGAGTGGGGCTATGGGGTGTTCTAGAAACATCTATCCATATGTTAAAGATATCTGAAAGATATTACTACCCTTAAGCTACTTTAGAAGTTTTTTCATGTCTCCAACTAGTTCCCAACCCCTTACACCCGACTCTACTGGGTTACAAGTTTTCCATGTTTATGTTTAAAATTTCAGTCACTTTATAGCAGATATAGCAATACTGCAGCTGTGCAGGAGTACAATGGAGTCTTTATACAAGGCATTTATTGCTTACCTTCAGTCATAGTACATGTTTCATTTTGTCACGGAGCTCTTAATCATGTAGTTTAATCAAATCAAGCAGACCCAAAGACTTTAATTATATGGCAAAGCCATTCTGAATTACACTACATGGACCAAAGATGAACTGCACCAGTTACAAGATGATGAGCAGAGGCCATGCTTCAGATAACCAAAACCAGGTATCATGTCTTTCCCTCAAGTCCTTGAACCTTGCTGCGTGGGGACTCTGGCACATATCCAGTCAATATAAAGCTTCAATGAAGACAGTGCATTGTCAGCAGCACGAGTGTCAGCATGGCAACATCGTGCTCTGCTGATGGATCACTCAAAGGCTTCATCCTCCAACAGCACTCAGACATGAAGCTCAGTTGTTTGTGGCATACCTGTGTTTTCCTAGCAGGCACCAATAATATATTTTCATGGCCTTCTACCCAAAACCTAGATAAGGCTTTGCTGTTCCACAACCAAGCCCCATGCTGGCTCTGACACCAAACAGCAATGGCAGCCTTATTTGTTCAGCATTTAAGATACAAATTTGTGGTTTGGGATAGACTGCAACTGTAAAAAGAGATTACATGATACCCGTTACATAGCAGTTTAAAGTAAGTTTCAGAAGCAAGACAAATCCAAATTCTTTCCTGTTATACTCATATCAGTCTGAGCAGTGCTGTTACAAGAATCTAGAGCTGATTCAAGGATGGGCTTAAGTTTGAAGAATGACTATAAGAAGAATCTATAGTGTACCTAATCAGTTTGAGTAGATGGAAAAGAAGAGGTTGAACAGTTCTGAAGGTATATTTGTGTGATGAGCGCTCAATGAAATGCTGGAGTATAGCAGAGAGATTCTATGAAATGCGGCAAGAAAAATGCTGCTATCTCCAGCACTGCATGTTGCATACTGCACTGAGCCCAGACCTTTCTTTGTAACCCAATTACAGAAAGGATAAGGAGGAGGAGGAGAGTTCTAAAGAAAGAAGGAATCAACAGCCTGAAAGAGTCAGAGCAGCCTTCCACAGAGGGTGGGCAAAAGTGAGACCAAACAGTTCAAGAATTTCCATGAGTGACAGAAACAGGAGAAAGTTACTATCATGAGTAAAAGGTACATAACTGCAGTAATGAGAATAAACTGGAAGAAATTAAGTCAGAGTACAAGACAAAAACTATTTCTCTAGTGAGAAGTAAGGTTGCAAGCTTGCCCAGAGAAGCATCAACACATCACTATTTAAATGACAAACGAACACCAAGAATGATAAAAGGATGTGATTTGTACGCAAACTGTTTTAGCAATCAAGTTAAGTCTGAATTCTACCACTCCCGAATATACCAATACATTATTTGGACGACTTAATACTGCTTCAAGACAACATGGCACTGCCCATTCATCTGGAAAAGGAAACCAACGTGGAGCACATCAGAGTAGGTTTGATCATAATCATAGCACATAGAGGCTTTCCATCTCACTGAGAGCACACAAATCTAATCTCCACTGATACTGCATTTTGGAAAAATCCAGGCAAAAAGAATTAATTTTTTCCCCATGAAATTTAACAGCATTTACCAAAGAATGTGGGTGTACATCTTCATTATCTTGTTTAAATTATGGAACCATATTGTACCTTCATAGTAGTCTCACTTACAGTTCCCCAGGATTATCATCATTTTCCCCTCTGTTCTGCTCACTGTCCATAGACTGCCAACCTTAAGAGTCTATTCCACTGATAATGTGTTTACCTTTTAATGGAGACATCCAGGTCCTTCAGGCAGTCCACAATGGTGCTTCGGTGCCGCTGTACTGCATTATGGTCTGTCTGCACAGTTTTCAATAATGACGTCAAAGCTACATATCTGCAACCAGGACATCCGGTCATCAGTAGCTGACACAGACATTTAATTTCTATGCACAGACACTGTCCCCTTGCCCCAAACCTAGTCTTATTTTGCAATAGGATAGGATTCTCTTGTACTTGGTAATGAATGGAAGTCCTATAGGGGACTTCCTGGCCTATCTTCACAGGTGAATTACCACACTAAATTGTAATATGCCTAATAACACTGCTGCCCAGACAAGCAAGCACCTGTCCCAAGCACCTTACATTCAAACTAGCATCAGTCAAAATTCCCAGGGCTAGAGTCTGAAACCCATATAATGATCTGCTATCCAACTGCTTAGAGATGATACTCAATTCTAGCAGTTTCAGCAATTCCACATCCTGATTAATAGTGACCAGAGCAGAAATAAACTCCTTTGTTGTCATCAGCATACAATCAGAAAAATCAGTCTTTGCCTAATTTGCTACATCTCCAATGTCAACTCTGATTTGAATAGCACCACAGATCACTTGGGATAAGGCAGGAGAAAAATATGAACCTGATTAAGAAATCACATGTTGAGAAAAAAAATCATACATTCCAACTTATCAATTAAGAAGGGCAGGGACACAGTTAAGATTTGCACAGAGGAAAGAACACACCAAGAAAAAAGCAAGCTCAACAGCCACACTAACCCCAAGAGCAGTGATCCTAACATGGTCTCCTGGAAAGCTTTACTTCAGCATCATCTTTGTGCAATTGCTTCTCACACGTTTTAAATTGAGTGTTGTCAAAACACACTTTGTACAACTTACCTAATATTTTTGTCGTTGTTTAATAAGAAACGGCCTAGGATGTTAATGGCTAAGACCTGCAGAAAGAGTTGGGAAGATCAATGATCTAAACGGGGTGCTAGTCATCTTCATCATTTCATGATGACTTCAAAAGGCAACATGTCAAAACTAGAACATTGCAGTTCTTAGCCAAAAAGAACTCTAGAAGCTACCTAAGCAGAGGAAATGCTAAGAGGTGCATCGCAGGCTCCCACTCGCACTCAGGACATGCACTCTGCAGGAAATTTTGCCTTTTGTTATTTTAAAAAACCCGAACACCCACCCTCCTCCAAAATGAGCACCCTTTCTGCAAAGGCTACAGTCTTATCTAGAGTCAGATGCAGAGCTGTGTTTTGGTGAAACAACCATGCTTTACATCATCCACGCAAATTACTCTAATACAATCCTGGGAAAAAAAGAAAGGCCATAGCAAAGGCAACTTACTCTCAGGCCGCTCTCAGATTTTATATCCATAATAGTCAGCACAGTTTCATAGAGAATGGCATTTCCCACATTTTTACTTGTTTCTGTATTAGTGGCAACCTGGAGAAAGGAAACAAAATAACTTCAACGAATTCAAAGCAGAGCCCCTTTGTGCTGCTCTACAGAATAGGCAGCGAAAGTAACCAACCCTTACAAAACAGCATCACACTTCTGAACGTGTATCTTTCAACAAAATTTCACTCGCATGGCAAGCAGCTGTATCCTCACTAGTGTGGCTGAATCCAAATTATTAACAAACTAAGACGAAGTTTAAATCAATCATCAACCTTGCAGACCTTACCTGTGCAAGTATATCATTCATTGCTTCACTAGAATCATCATCATTTCTCCCTAAAATTCTTAGTAACCGCAGGATTCGTACCTATTTGATAAAATAAAGAAAAGCTTGGATGACATGGGGTCATAGTGGCAAAAAAGAAAAACAGGCTGCTGATTTTCACTCTTGAGCAAAATGCTAATCCCAGGTAAGAACTTTATCAACAAAAACAGGCTTCTGCTGTGCTTATTTTCTTCCCACTAGCCAGAACTGTTCAGAGTCCCTTTGCTACCAGGCACAGCCTTCTAAAACCAACACATGCTACTTCTCTCTTTTGTCACATAATGTGATAAAGCACTACAACTGCTGGTTAAACTAAGGCAGGTGTCTTTCACTAGGGCAGATGAACAGCATTTGCACAATCAGCTCAAAGGAAGACCAAAAAAGCCTTAAAATCAACAGAGGTGTGGCAGTAACCACCTAATCACATCTAAGGCTCAAAACACAGTCCTAGAATTAAAGCTATCAGTGACTGTTTGCATCAGTTCTTACCTGCAAAAAGGGGTCACTGATCCCAGACACATCATGCTCTGGTGAATATCCAGACATGATAAGGTTCTTCAGAATACGAACTAATTGGGGAACAAGCTGTGAAGAAGAGAGTTGTCCTATTAGGGTACCGTTGTTTTCCTGGTCTCAGCTTTGAAGCACAGGTCCAAGAACAAATCTTGTATTTGAAAGCAAGTCAATCTCTGGATTCTTCCACATAGTTCAACCTGCACACCTAGAGCTGCTGCTGTATGAATACCTACAGCTTGGCTAAGACACAACTAGAAACAGTTAAGCTGGGACCAGAGCACCATATTGTACCTTTAAAGTAGTAAATCTACATTTGTGGTATAGCACAAGAAGAAAAACAGCCTAGTTTCCCTGTCATCTCCTTTTGTTCCTACCTTTGCTCCTCAGGAACTACATGCTCCTCTGAAAACATGCATTTCATAAAACACACAAACAAAATGAACCCTGAACTTCCTGTATCTGCCTTAAAGAGGAAACCGAAGGGTGCTGCAACATCTACTCTCCAGACATAGTAACAAAAAAGTGGAGCATTCCTGGAACCCTTATTCACATTTGCTTTGCCTTCCAACATGCATGAATTATCAGGACTGAGGACAGAACAAAGGGAAACATTGCAGCCACGGTGACTAGTTGAGGGCCACTTCCCTCATCTTGTGGAGTACAAATTATACCCATGAAGACTATCAGCACTGCAGCTGGACTGGGTAGCTCTTCGCAGCACAGAAAGCCTTTACAGCCTCTTACAGACAGTTAACTAACTGTGCTGCTCCCTTCTGAGAATCACCCCAAGCTGCCCCATGATTCAGACAAAGCCCAGTTTGTGTTAAGAAGAAAGCCCAGGGCTACAACTTGCACACAAAGAAAAAAAAAAAAAAATCTGTAAAGTATTCCTCAAACGAGGGAAGGCTTGAGGAAAGCAGGCTGATGTCACAGACGGCCATAACTGAGATTCAGGGCTGCCATGGTCGTAGAGGTTTAGTGACAAGACTAGCACACAAAAAGCATTAGATATGTACAGATGATCTAAGCATGTGGCATCAATCACAACTCTGTCATTCAGAGGCACTGCCTCATAAGGGACAAACATCTACAGATTCAAGGCAAACATGCATCATCTAGAAAAATTAACTCTTACCTTTTCATTCTAACTCAGCAGGATTCCAAACAGACAAAAGGGACAAAACAGACGAAGCAAGTATTAGGGACAGGTCAATGTTATACCATTCACAGCATAAGAACTACAAGAAATAGCTAGAAAGAATGCACCTAGTAACAAAATTTTGTTGACTCGGCTCTTCTCTCTCTTCCCACAACTATCATGTTAAACGAGCAATTAAGTAGCAGGGATGGTACCTGCAAAACGAACCTCATCTGACTTTTTCTCCTGCTTCGACATTTACAATCAAGGCAAGGGAAGATGCATGCCAAAATGCTAGGATGCACCAAAGAATTTTTAAATCCCTAATGATATAGGCAAGTCAAGGAAGAAAGTAAATTAGGCATGCAAATAAACAAACACCTTTAAGACTTTTCAGAGGAGCAAACGGCCTGCTCTGTTCTACCTGCTTTCTTTAATTTCTCCTTCTTTGACCAAGAATTTAAGATTATAATCAAGGCAATTTTCAGATGCCCTTCTATTGGTAGTCTTTCACATGGCAATAATACAGCAAATTATAACAAACAGCATAAGAAAGTCAGGAGAGTGACGGGAAGCAAACATTCCTAACCAGAGCAGGAAGAGTGACATTGACTCTCAAACCCTTAAGTTAAAATGGAAAATTGTGTAGCACAGCATGCACCAGGCATGAGGTATCTATACAACTAGAATTTAGATCAGTGTTTTTGAACTGAGTGTATATAACTGTGTGGCTGTGGTTAAGGCTTTCAGGTGTTGGTATAAGCTTCAGTTTTTCATCTTTGTCTCAATGTTTACTTCATTTGTGATTCCAGGGTCACTATGCAATTAGATACATGGAGAGGGGAAAAACCTAAGGGACCATCAAAGACAACTTTAAATCTAACTCTAGGATTAGTTTTATACTGTACGATCTTAAGACTGATGTTTTGTAACTTTTAACCACTTACTGAAGGGGATTAGTCCTAGATACACACGAAATTCCCACGTTTAATAATTTTTTAAAAAATTTAGCCATCAGTATCATTAAATTCTTCACCCAAACAATTTTAAGGATTTTACTAGAAAGCCATGAATATTAACTTTGCAATATTACCAGTTCACACTTACCTTTCTAAAGTGTGCAAGCATGTCTGGGCTTCTCTCACACATCTCTGTGAGGAGGACAACTGATGTGTGAAGAACACCTAAAGGTGAGAGAAGGGGGAAAGAAAAATGTATCTCCATTACCACCATTCCACTGGTTCCAGACATTTGATAAAGATCACAAGAAAACAACAGGAAAGCATTAAAAAAAATTCTTGAATTCAGCATATCATATCTATCACTACAGATATTTGTGCTTGCAGCTGTGTCCAAGGGAAAGCAGACAGCAATGTGCTCATGTCTTAAAGCTGCAATTAAAGGCCAAACCAGGAGATAAATTCGATTTGGTCTGCAGAAACTCACATACCAAACATACATTAATGGTCATAGCTGGGCTACTGACCTCTAAGGTCTCTTCTAAATCCAACCACCCTACGATTCTATACAAAAGTAAGACTCCAGAAAGACAGTATGCGTTAATCACACTGTGGGTGCCAAGTTCCTCACACTTTGATTTTCTCTTCTGATTTGGGTAGCCTAGCTGACCTTATCTCAGCTTTCTCAGGAGGCCTCAGAACTCCATTCAAAGAAAGACTACACAAAAAAAAAACCCCTCCAAACCTAAGAAGTCGCTGCCTTAGAGTCACTTTAGGCAGTGTACAGGATAAAAATCAAATTTTCCCATTTGACCCATTCTGAAGCATATCAAAACACAGTGAAAGACTTCTTTTTGTCACCTATGCCATGGAAAAGTCCAGTTGATTATCAGAGTCATACATATCCCTCCCTTCTAAATGACATTTGCATTCACTGTGTAGAAATGGAAAGAAACAAATCATACAAATACACCTCTGAATTTTCCTCCAAACAAAAGGCTTAGGCAGCAAGTACACTATCCTCCAGAGAATGGCCTAGCCTTGCTAAGTACAGTCTTGGCTATTACCATGGTTCTTCTCGTTCAGCAAGTTTTTGGTGGCTGGCAGGAACATCTCCATAAGTTCAGGCACCTTTCTGATGACATGGACAGCGCACAGCGCTGCCTGGAGAGGAAAAACACTTTGTTAGTACACGCTGCAATTACAACAATACCTGTTCTGGGAATATCTAGCACAGTGGGAACTATAACAATCCTCATGATAAACAAAGGCCTACAAAGTTTATGGCACATTTTTCCATCTCTCTATTACAAATGTTACTAAACAGCATTCCAGAAGAGAGTTCAATAAAAGGGAGCACTGAACTACAAACTAATACTTCCCCTAGCAATGGTTCATTTTTACATTATTCATGTAAGAAGTGCTATTATCTGCAAAGCAACTCTGCCTTTAATAGGGCTAGTTCAGTCTGTCTTCCTGTTGCTGGGAAGGAGATAATACATTGGAAACAAGCAATTAAACTTACTGTAAAATTACGGCTTATTTACTTTCCCTCCTTCCCCAAAAAACAACTTCCTCTTGCAAGTGATGGGTGCTATGAGAAACAAAACTACATTTACAGGGTTTTTTGAAAAAACACATGCCTATTTCTTCTAGAACAGAGAAGCAACCGGAGACTCTATTCCTTGCACCTGCCTGAAAATCAAGTGCCTCTTTCCAGAACATGGCAAGACCTCTCAGCATTGCTTTCTCCCCAGACTCTCTCTATATCCAGCACTAGACAAAGTAACAATGCATCTCTTCCTAAATATTACTGCTTCACATTCTCATCAAGACTTATCAATAAATAAATCTAAAGGAATGGGGGTGATGACACTTCGCTGATGCCGAGACATTTGCTGCAGAAAGGAGACAATTTGTGTTTGTCCATTTCAAGACCTTAACCCTTCTAGCACTCATCACCATCATCAACAGAAGACATCAAATAGGTTCAAATCTTCTGACACCACCCTGCACTGTTAATAACTAGTTTCTCTGGACTTATCTGAGAAAATAAATAAAACTGGTGACCAGAATCTTGAGGCTAATGTCCATGAGGGGGCAAGTGTTCACATTACCACCAATAACATTATGGGAGAGAGTACAAAAATAAAAGCAACTGCCTTGCCAATTGGAGGCTTATCATTTAGAGGCTTACATACATTCCTGCTATCAACAGACGGGGAGTTTTGAGCTCTGTCTTGCACAACGGGAAAATATTCACTCAGTGTAATCACAGTCATATAGTATTCCAGATATTAGCAAGATATTCAATCAATCTTGCCTTTTAATCCATAACAAAGTATTCAAAAGTTTTCTGACGTACCTTCTTCCTAAGATAGGAATTGGAAGTTTTGAGGAGCTTTTCCACCTCTCCTGCAAGGTCTCTGCACATTTCTGAGGAGCCCATGCAGCCAAGAGTACAAAGTGCCAGCCCCTGCACATACTGCGTGCTGTGATTAAGGTCACTGTAAAGGAGAACAAAAAAAGTCAATCAGCATGCACACAAACTGAACACACAAAAACGGGCATCTACAGCTACAGTCATCTAATCAGCAACACATGGCCCAAAAGAACTTTCTGGATTTCACAGCTGTGTGGGAACACGACTTGGGAGCAATAGAAGCTTTGAGTGCATGTACCACAGGGTTTGCTACTAATTCCACTTGGACTCCTCAACTATAAAGATAAAATACTTGGTTCAACTATCAGGTTGACCTGTCAAGGTATCCAGGGATTGAGCTGAGAAGAGGGATGACTATACAGAATTCCATTTAAAATAGTTTTAGCTTTGGAACTTGCATGCAAAGTACAGACCTGCAGTGACTGTGGGCTGTCCCAGTTTAAAGATGTTCTACAAGAGACTTTAGCTTCTGCATTTACAAACCAAACAGTATAGAAAAATTTGTGTAGAAGTATCCTCTATCCTAACCAAAAACCACAAACCCCACCACTCACACACCTTGAAAATAATCCATACAAGATTTCTGTTCAGCAGTTTTTCCTATCCACATGCCTAAGGAAGTAAGGAAAAGTGGTCACTAAGAAACTAAACTACCTAACAGGTGATGCTATTCATGAGGCTAACTCAATGTCACACTAAGCACAAGACAACGTAGTTTCTTTCTGGTGATCCCAACAGCCTTTAAAATTGACTTCTACACCATTTTTCCATCTGTGTTTGGTACTAAGGTTCCCACAGCACTCAGGATTCAATGCTAAAGAAATAAAAAATACAGCTCCTGGTTTGGGAGGCAAGAGGAGCTGGGAGCTGCAAGATGGAAGAGCTGGGGAAAGAAGTCATTCCTAACCAAACATGCAAGAGGTGCAGAATGGAAAGAGAGTATCCTGATTGTAACAAAGCAGTTATGGCAACATGCAGATGAAGGAACAGGTAGCACATGCTACTAAACAGGTTGCTTTTTTGTTTCCTTCCTTTAAGAATTTTTTGGCAGCTATACAAAGCTGTGTGTATCACAAGTACATGCTTCAAGAGGTTGCTTTCCTTTTTGTCTCAAAAATGTGGGTCTTGCTATGAAACAGTGAAAAACAATGCTGTAAATAAATCCTTTAATATCTAGATAAAAGCAAGATAAAATAGTAGGTTTAGAAGCTGAAGGAGAAAGCAATATACAAATCAGGAGATGGTGGGAAGCTGTCCACTATTTTTGCTCAGTTTCCATCTGACCCATTTCTGGTTCAAACTCATCACACCCTTACCAAATTCCCTGTAGCATAAACACTCAAAAAAGGTGTTAACCTGCAGCCTGGTTTTAATGGAAGTGCCTCACAGGTATAGCAGTTCAATGCAAGACCTTTACACAAAAACTTCATCTCCTGGACACTAGGTCCAAAGTTAACAGATCCTTAGGCCCCCAGTTTTGTCAAGTTTCTTTCAAAGCACTTTGAAGCCACAGTCTAATTGAAAAACAATACTTTACTAATATCCAAGAAGCTTATGTGCTAACAGTACATAATAATAAAAACAGGTACACCACACGCAACCTTTGGCTAGGTCAACAAGAACCCAGCTGTTCCATACCTGCTCCAATCCATCTTGAAAAGAAAATACACTCATTGTCACCCACTAAATTATAAAGTAAAAAAGTCCCACTTTAACATTGCTTTGCTGAGAGAAGTATTAAAAAAATAGTAATTCGCATCCCCTCTTGTCTGATTTCAGCAAAATGACAGCACATCCCAAGCTGCTGCCTTGCTTCCAATGAAAACCATTCGTCATGACCATTAGATCTTAGAAAGCAAGATACACAGCCTTGCCCCCTGACAGCTCTACAGAGCTTGTCAGCAGAAACAAACAAACACACGCAGGACATGTGTTGCTTGCTACATATGCCTCTTCAAAGCCAATGCAATTTGGTACTCTCTTCCCACTAAAGAAGTTAGACAGGATGGCCCAATACAGAGCGTTACTACAACAGCCTTATTACAGTCAACAACATACAACAATTTCACCATATCAGTTTTCTAAAACAAGGGAAAAACCCTGAAGAACTCTAAGTATCACTGTCAGAAGGATACTTTCTGATACTGAAACCTCAAAGCAGGGTTTGATGGAGAGGTGATACCCTTACTTCTTGATGCAATTGGTCATAAGAAGATGAACATCCTGTCTCTCATCCAGCAGCAACATGGCACCTAAATACCCAATGCGCTTGTCTGTGAATTTCTGAGACGCAATAAGCTTGAGGCACTCCAACTGGAAAAAAAAAAGGAAAAAAAAGAAGAAAAAAAAGACATAATTAGCTTGAAGCTACTTCTTAGCTAGAGAAGAGACACTTTGAATTTTGACACGCAGTAATGTATGTATCTCATCTCAGAATGCACTTTCAAAGGTGCATTTGGTTCCCATTTTGGTGGCGTGCAAAAAAAACGACCTTCCTGCTGGCTTTGTTGAAACTTTGGGCAGGTCATTAGCAGCTCTGGTGCCTTGAAGTGGCCAGACACTGCTGGTCTTCCATGACTTCACGTATACCAGATGTGGAGGTTCATGTCAGATCACAGAAGTAAATGATAACACATGGATAGAGATGAAAGACACATCAGTAAACACAAAATAGTAAAGATCTGGAAATCTAAATCATGTCTCACTTTTGATACGCACATGAAACTTTTAACTAGACTTAAAAAGTTCCACTTATCTATAAGGAAGAGGATCAATGCTCTGTAAGCTGCCAAAACAAGGACATGTAGTCATAGGACAAGGGTAACGACTTAATGGAAAAAAGGGCAGGTTTAGGTTACATATTGGGAAGAAATTCCCAGCTGTAAGTGTGGTGAAGCCCTGGCATAGGTTGCCCAAAGAAGCTGTGGTGCCCCATCCCTGGAAGTGTTCAAGGCCAGGCAAGACTGGGCTTAGAGCAACCTGGACTAGCAGGTGTCCTTGATCATGGCAGTTGGAACTAGATGACCTTTCAACCCAAACCATTCCAGGATTCTATGACTCTAATACCAGGTTTTGTTTATGATGATCTGTAACTAGCTTGCTAGCTAGGTAAAATGCAGATTGTCAGAGATAGTTACATTTCTGCATTTCTCTGTAATCTCTGGAACACCTGAAGTGTGCTAAAATCTTGTGCATTCCAGCCACTACAAGTGTCCCTTTCCCCCTGCAGAAATGGTAACTGTGATCAATAGCATAAATGAGATTCCCAAGACAATGCAGATAGTTTCCACCTGCACTCTGCTAATTTAAAATTTGCTAGCTCATTTTCATATCTGACACTTTTAAAATGAAAACCAAAAAACATCAATCACAGAGATATTCTGACATTACTATGCACTAAAATAGTTTTCTATAACAGGTAGCTACTCAACTATAATCTATGTCTGCTTTTCTGTCAGGAAAGTAAAGATCTATCCCTCACAAACAATTTCTGTTAAGACCACTTTACAAACTAGCTGGGGCAGCAAGTAAATACACACAATAGGTTTGAGGATGGGTCAGACAGAGCTGGCAACAGATCCATAGCAAAGGGAGCATGCACAGGCAAAGAAACGACATGTCAGGGAAAGGAAGTCATGGCCCCAGCCAGCCAGAAGCTTGAACAGGGCAACAGACACAAGTGAGATGCAAAAAACACACACATCATGGGAGTAACATTGCACAGTATATTGGTAAGAAAATTGAAGTTGAAGTGCCAGAGAAAGAAAGTGTTATGGCCCAGTCCCAGTCCTGCAAGTTGTCATGGCCACACGGCATTAGAAGACACTCAACTGTTCGCATTGCTGTCACATGAGAAAGCCCAGCTACTGCAAGAGGGACAAATTGGTAAGAAAAGGCTTGAAAGAAGTTGAGTTCAGTCTGCAAGGTTAAAGGGGGATGAAAACCTCAAATAAACATCTCTGAACAGTAAGACAGTCCTCTGCAAAGGTAACTGAATTTGCACAAATGCCCAAGATCGGCCAGAGATAACGTACAGAGCACTAGGTATAAAACTCTCATGTTTCCAGTGCTTTCTGTAAGAGAATAATGCACCTCTGAAACAACCTTCTTTCCTGGGTTTACAAGATGCTTATACAATCCTCTGCAAAAATGCAACATAAAATTGATGACATCTAAGCTACAGGGTAAGAGCCATCGAAGGCAGAAGATGAATGACTGAGGAAAAGCATAAGGAAACTGATGACTGCAACAGATACTCTAAGATACATTTCTAGTACTTTTTAATTTAAAATATATTAGTGAAATTTACCCCATGAAAGGCTTTTGAGTTCTTGTTTCACTTGTATATAAATACATGCAAACTAGATTAATTCACAGGAATACTAAGAAACATGATCAGCAGAAGCTCTTACTAGGTGTAATTAGTGGAAAAACTCTTGATACTGTTAAATCCATTTCATCCAAAGGAATAATTAAAATCTGCTACATCACTACTGTAACAGATACTACTGGCATGTAACCAGACTACAACTGACCCAACTTTTACTGACATAGTCACTCTTCCAACTGGAATTTTTTTCAAATAGAAACAGTGAAGTAGCCAATAGATGTTTCTTTTCGAGATGTAGCAAGCCTGGCAATAACGGATACTGAACAATTTGCTGTAGCCTTCTTTCACTGACAGTGAATTTATCATTACTTACCAAAGCAAAAACTGAAAATTTCTGCTTTAGTTAGTAATGCTAAATTAGTAAATTTAGTTAGTAATGGTAAATCAAATTATTAAATTACATGGTAAACTATAATCTCCCTTATACGGGAATAAATACTTGAGTAACAAGATAGAAGAATGAAATTTAAATAATGTTCATAACATAGGCCAAACACAGAAATTCTAGATGACACTTATCTGTAACACTTTTCATTATTCTTAAGGCTCTAAGATACTTAGCCTTAATTTTTGTGACAGGAAGTTCCTCTCTTGGACCAGGGAGACTGGCTATTGAAAAGTGTTAAGAACAGAATTATATACAAATTCAGTTGTTCTTTTTCAAAAACTCATTACCCTGAGAGAAGAATCCAATAACACAGAAGTAAGATGAGGCACTTCATAATGCCATAGGAGAGTCCAGACTCACTAATCCTAAGTCTACCTGCAATTTGATTTTACTGGTTTGAGTTTACTGTTTCAGTGAGACGTATTAGGATTTGTAAATCCAACCACAAATGGACGGACACAAAGACACGAAGCTACTTGAAGAGATACAACAATTTGACTGATTTAAGCTTTATTGAAGACCTAGGTTATATTACTATTAACAGGACACTTACTGACTTCTAAGAAAAACTGACTATGCCCCAAAGACTAAGCAAAGCTAACCTGAGGGACATCGTGCAGATGAAGAGCTTCCATCTTCCTATCTCTCTTTCCTAAAATTTCTGTCAAAAATAGCACATCAAAAATAAGCCAAGAGACGGAAAACTCACACCTGCATTCTCCATGCCACCTCACTAAGATGGGGATAAGGAACACCAACTTCTGATTTCTAGGAACAGACCAGCTCTTTTCTGTCTAAAGTACACTGCTTTATAGGGAAAAAGGTACAGAACCTTTTTTGAACTATGTGGCACTTTTCAGAGACAGAATTCCAAAGTGCTATTTGGATCCAATTGGAAAATATCCCTGTGTCTTGGACTGCAGTTTAAGCACTACTGCTCTGCAGAAACATGGATGGTAAGGAGGAGACAGTATGGCAAAAGTAGACTAACCTCAAGTTTCAAAACAAAATATGTTGAGCCTCAAACAGTAAATCTCACTAACAAAGCCTAAACTAACTAACACAGGTTCAGAACACACATGAAAACCGACCTCAAAACATCCTGAAGGGCAGCAGAAATGCACCTAGGAAAGCTCTGAACAAGTCCATGTGCCCAAAACACAGAAGATAGACTGCCTTATGCACAGAAGGCGCCAAATTTTAACCTACCTGTCCAAAATGTGCAGGATATCCCAGCATGTGCATATACAGCAGCTTTGCCACGTTTCTGCACCGGTATGTGTTATCTTCCTCTCGGAAGGATGAGCGGATAGCAGCACATTCCTTTTGGATCATCTCACGCTCCTCTGCCTGGGTTCTCGCTGTCCGGATGGTCCGGATCAACTCCCGCAGTCTGATGGGGGCTGGCATCCTCTGAGAGAAGAAAGAGGTCTGTAAAACTTCTACTGTCTCTAAAGGCTTCATAATGGTCTCACACTTCTGCATATTCTTTTTGCTTTCTTACCCTACAATTATAGAAGTAAAAGAATGAAGGAAACGTAGGCTACTTCAGTAGCATGGTTAAGAGTAAATTTGAGAACCCAAGGACCTTACTGTACCTCACAGCTGCTCTTCCCAAACATTAGAAATGGGAATTACTCCATTTTGAGCCAGCTGTCAAGTGAACATAACATGACTCCCCCACCTGAAACAGCATCCTGCAAGGTGCTCTCATATTCACATCATTTGCCTCTCTCCAGAAAAGCCAGGCTCCAAAGAGAACTGAATCATGACAACTTGGGACAGAAATCCTCCACAAAACACTCTGTTTAATAACTTGCACAAGACTTCATCTAAGTGCTTCAGATGGCCATACACACTTTCCTCTTAGAACTGTGGAAGTCAGCAGAAAAGCAAATGGAAGAGCAATCTTTAGTGTGTGGATATTTCAGAGAATCCTGCTTCAAAAAGAAACAATCAGGTTTACATCATCCTTTTATTGCACCCCAATTAGAACAGCCCCTTCTGAAACAAACAAGCCTGTGATATTACTGTCTGGCAGTAGGGGTATGAAAGGTGTAGACAAGAACACTCAAGAGTAGTTTCACCTCATCGGATGGAATACTGACAGAGCCATCTGACCCAGACAGCAATTTAATCTGCCAAGTATCTGTTAAGAGGAAAACGGCTGTCGAACAGAATCCAAACTTTAGGATTTATGTCCAACAGTTGAACTTTTTAGTTCACGCTCATCAAAGCTGACTTCTGATGCTCAGGGAGCTCAGACTATATAAACACCTTTACAGCCTTCTTTTATTCATGCCAGCCTGCAAACAGAACTCAGCCCTTCTGATAACAGGTATGAGACCAACTTCTAAAAAGCTGCCACGCCAGTCTGCTACAGATTTTGTCTGGGTCACCATTCCCACTGAACACTGTGTCATACATTTTAAGCGTTGCCATATAAGAAAAAGATGTGTATTCAGGTGCTGCACTAACTGGCTTACATGATACCACAGAACAGAGAGGCTGGGACACAGAGCTAACAGGGGACTTCTTTGCCTGCAGAAAAGCAGACAGAGATGCATGTACAAATAAAGGCGGCCTTACAGTAAGCCAGACAAAGGCAGCTCTGAGTGTCTTGATTATAAACTCATACATACACTAGGCCTCTTCAGCCAAACCATGTAGACTCCTCATATTTAAGTTTCCCATTTTCATACTTTAATAAGCTTGAACTTACAGAGACACAAAGCAATCAGTTTTGAAAATGGAAGAGTAGAGATATTCTGCCTGCATAAGGAAACTGTTCCAAAATGCTGACAATGTGTAAGATCAAGACTATTGGACACTTTAATCCTTACTCTTTGCTTGACTCTCCAAGTGAATTCACAACACTTCCTCACATTGCTGTGATATGAATAAATTAATGGTTGCCATGCACTCATGCTGCACTAACGTAACAGAAACGGTCATGGAGAATTAAGAAATCCATCTCCAGAACAAACCCTTCCATGGCCACTACCTTTGCTGCCATGCCTGCATGGCATACAGCTCTGCATCCTTTCTGAAGGGGAAGAAAAGCAAAATGCTGCAAGCAGCACTTAAGGGGTAGATGTAATATGCCTTCTATTTTTTTGCCTCACTATTATTTTCCTGAAAATTGGTAACACTCTGTGGAGTTTTGATTGCTGCAAAATGCTCAGCTTGTGTTTTTCACAACTGTATCATAAACTCAAAAGTCTCTTTCCTGGGAGGCAACCGTCCACATTAAGTGCAGAATTTTTAAGCCTGGACTCACCTACTACACACACATATCACATGATTCTAAACTGATCTTGATACTCCCACACTCTTGCAGAAAATTGGGCAGAAGCTACAAAGATAGAAGTGCTACTGCAGAAATATTGCTCTGCAGTCTAGAGGCAATACTTTTATAATCACTCAGATCACTCATGTGCAGCTCATGCTGAGAAAGGCGAGTCCAGTCCTTCCATTGTGTTCACACTGGCACCAACCGGCAGATGTGAAAAACAGCTTGTCCTCTTCCTCCCAAAGGCAGTCCTCAGACACACCAGTCTGGCTTGTGCAAAGACAGGCAGCAGTGAGAACATGTGGCTTTGGGAGACCTCAGTGGAGTGGAAAAGACGTGAAAGGTTCACTCCAGCATGAATCCACACTTATGCTATGGCTCTGTACCCTAGTTAAGCCTACCTACAACACTGCTGCTCCTGAGAAGATAGAAGATAAGCAGTGGCTACTACTAATCTAGCTATTACAACCACAACTGACTCCTTTATTTTAAAGGAAGTGTTCTTTACAAAGATTCTGAAACACTAACACATAGCCTGCAAACAAACTGAGGTTTGCCAACAAATTGTTTTGATATCACAAGTTGTTTTGTTCCCATTCTGTATCTGAAAGTTTATAAACTGCTGAACGCTGATATCTGCAGCCTGTGACTTGTACAAGCCACTCCTTTCCTTGCCAGTGGACCAAAAACTTTCTGCAGGTATGCCCATGGAAGGCTTCAGTATCTTAAGCTTGGCCCTGGACAACAGAAAATAAAAGGAAAGACCGCCTAAACAGTTCCAGTTGAGGGAAAAACAGAATTCAACAATGTTGCCCTATGTGAAGTACAGCTTTTAATGAATACTGTTTTCTCATCCTTCTCTGGTGTTTAGGCAGGACTTCCTGTCTCACTAAGAAGGCAGGTACAATGACAACAAACTGAAGATCTAGTTGGACTTCGTCTGAACATCATTCAGATATTCAACAAAGCAAATAGTCAGTATTTACAAATGCCCTTGCATAAATAATCTTTACAGTGTGCCTTCCTGATTATTTTTCCTCCTCACTTCACAACCACAGGAAAGTAAGCAGAACTAGCACTTCAGATAGCAAAGAATTGATGAATAAGACTCAAGAACAAATTTCTGAGGCTTCCAGCTGCTCTCACTTGTGTAACAACTAACACACAGAGTCTAACCTGACTATGAGCAACTGTATCTCACACACACATCCTGCCTGAGGAGAATAGAGCAATTCAGAACTGCTGTGATGGAGGACAATATCAAGGACAAAAGACAGAGCTGTGATTTATTTTCCAATATTCAGAACTTCTATCCTTGTGCTGCAACTACATACTATTTTTTTAGTCAATATCAAATAATTCAGTTTTTTGTAAAATAAACTTCTGAGTCTATCCCATACAAAAGGTTTTCCACCCATCTATACAAAATAGTGTTTTCCCCTCACAAATCACCATACATGTTCATCCTTAAAGCTTGAGCTCTTCTTCTGCACACTCTCCCAGTATTTCAATACAATGTTATTCCCATGCAATGTAGCACATTGCATTTTCTTCCCCTCCACAATAAAGTGTTCTCTTAATACCAAAAATTCTTGCATCAGATACCTGTACTTTGCCTTCAGTGTCTAAGATTCTTCTGCATGCTAACACACTGGAAATCTCACGGCAGTTCTGAGTTTCAGACATTTCAAGTAAGTGTAAGCAGTAGTTACTGCAGATGAGAAGAAACTTTGGCCACGAGAACACTTGAATTCAGAAACATTACAGAAGAGATTAACATTTACCTCGTCTCAGCAATTTCAAAGCCTATTATAATGCCAACAGATCTTTACTGCAACAATGGGAGGACAACTATATAATCTAGCAACAGCAGACAGTGGAATTTCACTTTAGCTGGTGCCTAAGTGCTCCTTAGAACCTCCTCCAAAGTAGCAAATCTTGTTCTTCAGGATTAGTTAACGTTTTTCCCCACTACAGACACATCCTTTTATTCTTTGCACGTCAACATAAATGACAAGGCAGTTTGTAGAAGTTGTTACCTACTTCCTTCTTGGGTTTAAAACAGGAGTTTCCTTCAGAAATTTTTTTGCCAACTACAAGCTCCAGAAATCAGGGATGATCTCTGAAGACTTGAAAAGAGCCTTCTAGTTAATATTTACAGTATGTAGTAGGTTTGCACACAGAATTCTTCAACCTTATCAGATCTGTTTCCATCTTCTCATCCCAAAAGCCTTGCTCCTTAGAAGAACCTACTATCAAGACCAAAACTTCTGAGACAGTCAGAGACCTAATCCAGATTAGTTCAAGATGTATAGGTGGCTGGTGTTGAAGTTCCTTAGAAAACAGAATTCCAGCTTCTTTCCTGCAATCCAGAAACTAGGAAAGGTGTCTCCTCAATGATTCTCCTCTCTCTGCTATCCAAGAATTCTTACCCTGAACCAATAAAAAGGCATTTTCTCTCTTTGTGTAACTCATTCCTACTATACAAAACTGAAAAAAAAAGAAAATAAAAATCTTCATGCATTAAAACATTTAGTTTTCATTTAAATTGTACTGATAAATCACTCTTTTCACCTCTTTTATGGTCTGTTACTAGTGAAGCTTGTCATGTTTGAAAGTTAAACATTTAAGTTAAAGATTTTATTCAAGAGGCCATTGTACCAAAAATATTTGAGTCTAGAACTTGACCAGAAGTCTCTCTTAGTATACTGTCACATTCAAATATGCTGGGTCACCTTTTATAGTTACAACACACACCTAATATTACCAAACCCCACCTTGAAAATGCTCAAGTGCTTCAGTCAAGCTATACTCCTCTATCAGGAATTCCACAGTAAAGACAAAGGATAGTCCTTAAATGTTGAGTTGAGAACATGTCCTCTGGAAACTATTCAGAAAAGTTAGCTTACATCTAAAATATCTAATGTGTCTCTAAGATAATAAAACTTGAAAAATTAGCAGTGTTTTAAAACTTCTTTAGGACAAATTATCAGACATTTAACATTTTAACATTCCATTATTATTCAGCCTTAAATTCTGGAAACATTAAAACATAAAGGCCACCAAAATTAATTAAATTATTCACAGAAGAGCTCTACTGTTTGGGGAAATGGTCTGAATTTTAAGTTGTGGTGATATACACAGTAAGTTACAGCTTTTCCTGTAAATAACATTTCTGAACTTGGTTCTGTCTAGAAAACACACCAAGCCTGAAGCAGCATACATTTCAAGCACATCTAAAACACACAACTCCAGGTGCTCCACCCCAATGCATGCATAGGGAATCACAGTCCTCAACAATCCCAGCTTTTGGGAAGTTACACAACTAAAGCCAGACCCAACTCCCAACTGAAGTCAACAGCAGAACTCTCCTACTTGCTTAGGTACAACTGAATCCAGCCTAGTACACAACGGCAGAGGATCTGTCCAGACTCCATGAAAGGAGTAATTGCAGTGTTGATACCCAAAACTGATGGTCTCAACTCCACACTGCTATCAGTAGGCTTCCCACTTCTATCAGACACTTAAAAAGAAAAATATATTAGCAGTAAAACCAGAAACATACTCTCCAAGTAGAGATGAGGGTATCAACAAATGCAGAGATATTAGTATATAGCCTAGTATTATCAATATTTATACAGATAACAGTAAATATTATATTATTATAACTATTTATACAATAAACATCAAAGCAAGGAGCACCACCATCATCATTACGAAGGGCAAAGGCAACACAAACCAGTCAAGAGAAAGAGCAACCATGTAACATGCTAAGTGGGACAATTTTTTCATGAGGAGAAAGCTATTGAATGCAATAGAGAACTAGAAAGCAACATCAGAAAATCAGAAGGCAATTATGCCAGCAGGGGCCTTCAAAATGCATGCTTGTAAGGAAAGGAATCAGAGTTACACTTTGCTTTATGCAGAGATCGCTGGAGGGGAGCAGGGGAGGTCAAGGAAAAAGTACCCCAAAACAAGAACTAAGAAATAGTCTTGGAAGAAGACGTGGTCCCACTTCCAGTTACATTGAAAAAAAAAACAAAAAAAAAAAACCAAAAAACACCAACATTCAGCACAACAGTATTCAAGAAGCAAGGCTCAGCACTGCTCCAGGGCTGAGAGGAAGAGGAGAGGCAGAGCAGAGACTGAGGACACTGCACAGATCCCACCCAATTCCACCGCAAACAACTGCAGACCCGCTCCCACTCCCTGCTGACTGAGGCACGGTCCCAGAGCACAAGTCAGCCCCTCGGATGAGCTATCCCATTCCCGCACAGCTGTGCACATACAGCAAACCCAGGAACCCCTAAACTGTCTTCAGAAGACGCACTGAGCTCCCAGTCAGTACAAACATTAACCTCAACAACTGCCAAAAAAGTTAGAAGCTAAAAAATGTGGGAAGAAGAATTAGCACGGCTATATAGCTGACCACCATGACAGATACAAGCAGAATTTCAGATTTTCTGGCTTCTGTTTCAATACTGCAACCATTACTGACCTACATTATCTTTGTATTTATCACCTGCTTCTAATTTCCTCACTATTCTAATCTATGAAGTAATCTGGTTATTTTACTTCCTGGTCACTTTCCTGCAGAGTTAAACTTTAAATAAAAAAGAAAAGCCACTACTTTGTCACCAAAAAAAAACCCCTCTATGTCCTAGCTAATACCAGATGAATGACAAGATGCCACATTTGTACATTCATTAATATAAACTTTACAACAGGCCACTTAACTTCAGCTATGCCCTAGGAAGTTCTAATCTTTGATTTTACCTGTGGCATT